TTTTCCTAACATCTCCTCTGCTGGTGCATCTGTCTATTAACACCTCTGCTCTGCCTGCGAATACAGCTGCATCAACTCTATCTCTTTTACATCTCATTACAGCAGCTTCTTCTGAGCTGGCCTCCCCAGGATGAAGATTCCTAGATACCGGTTTTCATATATTATCGCTGTCTGATTTTCTCCTATGTGCCAAAAACTCCACTGCAGCACTCAATCCACAAACACTTTATTTAGTTCTGTTACCATCCCATGGAGTTGCTTCTGACTTCATGCCCTTCATCTCCCTTCCTGCATCTTTCTTGTGCCCCTTTTTTTCCTACAGCACTGCCCCTTCTCTCCACAAATAGCAGCACTCTTGGTTTGCCATTGGAAGCAGACTTCCTGCGGCTCCCTGTCTCATCAGCTTCTCATTTCAAGTAATTTAAAATGTAATTTAAAATCTCTCTATTTCCTCCAGACTATTAATTTCTCTCTCCTTACTCTTCTATAGATGTCATTCTGTGTTGCGCTATTCAGTAAGATGCGACTGTTGTAAAAATCTGCCACAGTGTTTTTATTCTGTATTCTTGTTTTGTATTATCATTTTTAATGATTCTTTGTAGGAAAGATGAAATCTCAGCGCAGCATCTAGCCACAGCACAAGCAGTCACACAGGACATTCTGGCATTTGCATTGCCTTTGTTCCATTCTTCTCCTGTGGCATTTAGAACTGTAGAGGGATTATTGTGAATGGCCTAAGAGTATATAAGTAGGGTAGCAGGAAGAGAATTATTTCTGGAAATTGGGAGGCGTGAGGCAGGAAGCCGTGTTTAGTCCTGATCCTGAGATGTGCTGAGCCTTCATAGGTCTCACTCCTCTTAGCCAGAGATGAAAGAACTCACTGCCCTGCAAACCTGGCCTTCTGACACTGGCAATTTCTTTGGGGAGAACGTGCCCCTCTCCTGTTGCTGTTATCACTTGAAACCAAACTTGTCAAAGCTGTAGAAATATGTAATAAAGGCAACAGTTCTGGACTGGTTTGAGGGTCTCTGTTTTGGCCCAGCTGCTGCGTCATCCTATGCATCTGACTGGATCCGTTAAATGTAAAGATAGGTAATCCTGATATTTCAGCAAGATTTTTCTTGTTATAGATGAAATCTGTAATTTCTCACAGTTTTGGGGCTCCTGGCAAGCCTAAATCCACAACCTCTGCAGTGACTGCTTGCTCACCCTACTAGTCTCACGAGACTCAGACACCAACAGAAGCAAGCTCCTCAACCCAGAGACAACCCCGGTCTGCGCAGCCCAGCGTACCCTGACCCAAAGCAATTTGTAACAGTAAAATAAACACTTAACCACATGGGCTAGACAGGTGAGCCCTAAGTGAAAACACATGGCATCACCCCTTCTCTCCCTCTCCTCTTTAAATGACCCTGGTGTGTAAGGATGGGTGAGTTTTCAGAGGGCCTAAGCCCTTTTTGCTTCCACTCGCTCCAGCCAGGTGCTTGTGTGGCATCACTGGAAGAGCTGTACTACACTTTTTTGAGAGGACAGAGTAACTGAGGACTCCACCTTCCTTGGAGCCACAAGCTCCACAGATTTCCAGAGTGCCTTTCCCATCCACACATGTGATGTTGGTGCCTGATGGGTTTGAGTGCCAGAGTAGCCGGCTGAAGTTTTTTCCTCTTCAGAGTCTTTCAGGCTCCTGGCCCAGCTTTTGTACCCTCCTTTGAAGAATGAGAAGACTTGAATACTGCGGTAGGGTTGGAGGAGAACCACCACCAACACAGAAAGAAAATGGTTCAGAGTCCCAAGAATTAGTTATTCCTCCCTTAAGCCTTCCTTCTTTCAGTAGAAAGCTCTTGGAAGGGAAGGAGAGGTCCTCGAGTGACCTTCTCTAGCTTCATTAGTTAAGACCCTCACAGAGCCTCCTCCTCACCACAGGCCATCCCTGTAGAGCCATAATCTCCCACCAGCTTACGGGGGGTCTCTGCTTCTTTCTGCATCTCAAATACCTTTGAACGAAGAGCAACAATTCAGAGAACCTGTCCACAGCTACCAGCCTCCACACGCTTGCAGCAAGCTGTACTCAGAGTGCTAAAGGTGCATTGGGGCCACCTCCCCCCTTGCCCATCCTCAGCTCTTTGGCAGCTCCGTGAGTGTAGAAAGAAACCCCCAGCTCCTGTGGCAGAGCGCAAGGCCAGGAGTCCCCCAGCCGAGGCTGGGGACTGTGTTTGTCCCCCAAAAAAGTCTCAGGGGTCTCAACCTGCGCTGTCTCCTACCAGCCTGCCCTCCATCCCTTCTGCTGGTGGTGATCTGCATATGGCCGATGCCAGCACCATGAGTGCTTGCTGGTAAATACCTCTGCCTCGGCCTCAGCTGTGAGGGCAGCCCGGTCTGTGCCCTCCAAATGGGGGGAATGAGCAGTGGTCCATAGGGCAGCCAGCAGCCCCCCTGCTGCTTCCTATAGAGCCCTTCACGTCCAACAGTTCTGGGGCAGATTGTCCTGAAATGGCAGTCCCGGTCTGCGCCCAGAGAGGGATGAGGGAGGGCAGATAAACGGAGTTAGGAAATTGCAACGTGGCTGAAACCTTCCAAGTGGTTCAACTTTGCAGCACCCCCTTCCCTCGGCCCCACTCCCCTGCATGGAACAGCAGTGAACCTAAAGCAGCTCTTCTGGTCTCTTTTTAACAGAACAATGAATCCGATCAGAGAGAAACAAAATCGGTAGCATCAAGAATTAGATTGTTTCTTTTCTTTATGATTGTGGCATTAATGAGCAGCTACATGTATAGAACCAGGAGGTGACTAATGTAATTAACCTGGTGTAATGATATTGTTGAGGAAGAGAGAGAGGATTATGACATACTTCGATGCCGGTATTGCACAGTTTTGTATATGTTCCCGGTACTACCAGGTTTTGTCTGGCACAGGAAACTTAAGCAGTGATAGATTTCAGTCTGCATCCATTCAGCTCATACGTCTTTCTGTGTAAAACGAGGATGTGAGAGGTGGATTGCTTTCTGGGGGTTGGGGGGGGAAGGGATTCAGTTTTGGTGGTTCCTTTCCTTAACAAAATCATAGTAGTAATAATAAATCGTCCTTCCACGTGAAGAATCTTCCCAAAATGTCTGCTTCTTGGAGCAAGCACTGGGGTTTCAGAGAAAGCTATAGAGACAAAGTCAGGACGCAGGGATTCACACGACACTGGTCAGGGGGAGACAGAGGGACGGGAAACGAGCAACACCAAAACACACGCAACTTGCAGCAAACCCGAGAAGAGTGAAGAGCAAGCCCTTCAAAACCCGTAACCCCGCCGATAAGAACAGCAACGCGTCCTTATTTTGAAACGACCCTTCCACGTTACGTTTCACCCGCCACTCGGGGAGAGCTTAAACGGCTGACCCAAGTTTTCATGCGGGTCTAAACCGCGGTGCGCGGGGTTGCGCTCGAGGCTCGGGGGCGCGTACGGCGGGGGCTGCGAAGGAGGCTGAGTGTGGGGGGGCAGAAAGAAAGGCAGAAAGCGAGAAAAGGGGGAGACCCCCAACTACGCCTTCCTGCGGGCGGGTGTGGGGGGGGTGGCAGGGACCCTTCCCGGGGCTGGCAGCGGTAGGGAGGGGGGAGGCTGCCA